TGTGTGTGTGTGTGTGTGTGTGTTTCTTCCTCTTTATATACTCTTCAGGTTCTCTTCTCCGGGCGGCTAACTTGGACTCTGAAACATGGGTCTATGCTGATGGTCGCTGAGCTCAGCTATTGAAGGCTTTCAAATTTTAAGTGGCTATTTGGATTCCTATATTGATTACGAACCCACAACAAAAACATAGTACTTGCTTTCTCGGAGCTGACCTTCTAGTTCGTGCTGCAGACAATAAATAAAATGAGTAACGCATGTGATAAAGATAAGGCAGAGAAAGGGTGTAAGGAATGCTGGCATTTTTTGACAAAATAGACACGGTATGCTTCACTGGAAAAAAAAAATCTTCGAAAAAAAAAGTAAGTTTTGGGTGTAAGGAATGCTTGAAAACAAGTCACGCACTCATTTGGAAGAAATGTACCTGGTATAAGCATCAGCATCTAGAGCAAATCTCAGCACAACGCTCCCTAAAACGTCGCTCCCTGTTACGTATTTCCTCAGCTCCAAGAGCGAGGCCACGGCGATCTCCATTTTACTTCCTGGCATCAATGTAAGGTGAGCCTCGGCGTGGACATCTTTTTCCCACCCGTTACGCTGAGTGCTGATCGTCTTCCTCTCCGAGTAAGAGCAGAGGAGACCCAGGGGCAGAGACCGGGAGCAGGGGCAGCTGGGCGGGCCGTAGGGCGCCCTGGAAGCCCGGCCTGCCCTCACCCAAGATGGCGCCGGCGCGGCGCGCGGTCCCCGAGGGAAGTGCGAGCTCCGCCCCGCGCCGGGGGCGGGCCTACAGTGGGCGGGGGCGTCACGTGGGCGCGCCGGGCCTGGGGTCGCCCGCGCTGCCACCGCCGTCGGTACTCCTGGACTGTGGAGCGAAGGATGGAACCTGTGGCCGTGCCCCCCGAGATCGGGGAGAGACCAGGAGCGCCCTCTGGCTCGGGCCTCTCGGCTTCCCAGCGTCGGGCCGAGCTGCGGCGGAGAAAGCTGCTCATGAACTCGGAGCAGCGCATCAACCGGATCATGGGCTTTCACAGGCCCGGGAGCGGCGCGGGTGAGAGCCTGTTCCCCCACTGCGCTCACTGGCCCTGGGAGTCCTCGGCCGTCATTATTCTCCCCGCTCCGCACCGCTGACCTTTTCGGCCAAGCCCTGCCCGGCTCGCGCCCTCCACCCCCGGCCTCGCGTTCACCGCTCCCCGCACCCCCGGGGCAGTGTCGCCCTCAGATGGTCCTCACCCGGGCTGCGGAGTCGTAGCTCCTGAGTCCCTCTTCCCGGCTACCCTGAGACAGCCCCTATCTTCCTTTCCTGCCCCCTCGCCCGACTTCAGGGGCTTACGTTTTTAATCCCAGACTGCCCCTCAGGAAGATTGTTTTCCTTTCCACCTGTTCAGATGGTTTCCTTCCAGCACTTGCGCTGCCATGTACCTTTTACCGTTTGCTGTGTAATGTTTGTTCGCCCACACCAGCTTGCCTTAACTGAATTAGCCGCTCTTCAGCCCTGCGTGCACCAGAGATTCTTAATGGTCACATCTTGGTATCTGTTCTACACCCTCCACCCTCACATACCTGGTCGGAGAAGTAAAAATAATAGAAGGAATCATCTTTATAGAGCCCACGAGTGCAAAGTACCCACGTGAGATTTCCTCTTACTAGCTGAGAACACTGCATTCATTTGGGGAACTGTATTTAATACTAAAAGAATGTTCATTACTTACCCGAAGACTTGGCCACTAAAAGTTTTTCATGTGAATGTAATTGATCATTTAGTGTGCTCTCCTGTTTAACTAGTTTCCATCTGCGTGTTTCTTTTAGTAATATTGACTTCTAGTCACTAGTTGGGAGGTTCTTAAATCTACCTGACTTCTGTGAGGTATTAAATATGTATCTCTGAGTTTCTAGATACTTAAAGCAAGAGGTAAGAACATCGTTTTTAAATTCCTCTAATACAATAGAACGTTGTTTTTTTTTTTTTTTTCTTTTAATAGTATCGGGATTTTATTTCTCTTTCCTCTTGAAGTAATCTGTATCTTGTGCTTTTGGTGTTGAAGTTTCATCTGTCTTTAAAGGCGTTTTCTTTAGAGCAGCATCTTAAAACTACTTAAGTACTTATGGATGGCATCTGCCTACATAAACTGTTTTTGAAGCTATGCCACACCCTGTGGTGACTGTGCTCTGGAGCGCAAGCTATGTAGTCATTCTTCTGGGATATATTGGCCATGAAAAATTGGTCTTTACAGCTTGCTTCAAACCTGAGAATCTCTTTCTCAGTTTGTTTCTAGTCTTGACTCCTTACCCACAAAATTTGGATTATTTTTGCTGCAGGTATACCATTTTGGGGTGATATTGAAGGGGTAAAGAAAGGACTAGTTTCTGTTTTATTTGAAATTAGTTTTTATTTTGAAGACTGTCAACTTCTAGTTGTAGCCTTTTAAAAAATATTAACATATGTTTGCCAGTATGTAATACATAAGGTCTTAAAATTTTACTTTCCCAGAAGAAGAAAGTCAAGCAAAAACAAAGCAACAGGAAGGCGATAAGCTCAACTCCCTTGGCGTTCCTTCAGTTTCAAAGCGAGTAGTGCTGGGTGATTCGGTCAGCACAGGGACAACAGACCCACAAGGCGATGTGGCAGAGGTAAAGGGGACCCAACTGGGAGACAAATTGGACGCTTTCATGAAACCACCGGAGTGCAGTACTGACGTCAGCCTTGAGCTCCGGCAGCGCAACAGAGGGGACCTGACAGCGGATGCTGTCCAAAGGGGGCCTCACCATGGCCTGGAACAATACCTTTCCAGATTCGAAGAAGCAATGAAGCTACGGAAACAGCTGATCAGTGAAAAACCCCATCAAGAGGATGGCAGTACAACAGAAGAATTTGACTCTTTTCGAATATTTAGATTGGTGGGATGTGCTCTTCTTGCTCTTGGTGTCAGAGCTTTTGTTTGCAAATATTTGGTAAGAAAAGAGATGTAAACTATTAACTAAATTTGGGAAGTGCAAGTTGGTTATAACAAGTACTTTGAATCCCTAAAAGTCATTGCCAGTGTTAATATCAGATCCACAGGACTCTTTGGAGTTATATGGTACATGTTGTTATTTATCTTAGTTATAGAATGAGAGCCTGTCAGTTACTAATGTCTTTCTAGATGCCAGGTACCATTCTGAGTGTTTCTTTTATATTACTACATTTAATTCTCAGCCTTAGGAACTAGATACTGTGTCACTTGAATCAGTAAGGGAATGAAGATTTAGGTTAAATCATTTGCATAAGGTCACACAGCAATTAAGTGACATCTGGGATTAAACCCAGGCAATTTCAATCCAGAATCATGGAATTAAAAGCCTATTAATATATATGTATTTTTTTTTCATGAAACATTAAAAATGCAGTTTCTGTGGTCTTCAGTATGAAATAATTTTTTATGGTTTAAAAGATCTTTCAGCATTTTATATATTGTGTTGTAATGACTGTTCTCATGTGACACTATTTTATAATATGTAGAAGAATACAGAAAAGCATTCATTGTGTTTCTCTTTGAGCTATTTCCATTCAGTAGACATTTTAAGACTACCTACTGTGTACCAGGCACATTCATTTTCCAGATAAGACTTATATCTTTAAGTAAAATAGTTCTATAAAATCTATTTTTCATGCAAATGTTTTCTTAAATAGGATTTGTTTAATAGATTTGTTCTTCCCCAATGATAAATTGATATCATAGTAAAGATCAATAATGCTTTTAAGATTTAGTCAGCTGCATAGCCACTTTTTTTCTTTTACCTAAAGGATTATGCATTCATGGTTTTAAAGTTATCTTTCATTTTGGTGTTTCAGGCTTGTGTGAGTTTTTTTGTTGCTTGGATTTTTGGTTTTCTATCAGATTTTCAACTTTATTTCTCCCTCTTCCTACTATACTGCCATCTGATGATTTTTACTACTTTTGTGCCCTTCATAATATTGTTAATTTTAGAAATAATTATGTAAGTAGCATGCTGTTTTTATCTTTTATGTTTTGTCTGAGAAGTCACATCACCAAGCCATTTTATATGGTAAGAATAGCTAGCTTTATCATTTCAGGGCCCAAGGTGATAGCTGGCAGTTAATTTACCCCAGAGTCTGAGGCATGAATGGCATCCGTTTCTGAGTGCTGGCCTTTTTATGTGTGCTTCAGGTTGCCAGTTGTTTCCCTTTGAAAGAGGTATTATTACGTGTTAGAAACTTGTAGCTATTTATTTTTTGGGCAGAACCGGGGATTGAACTCAGGCCCTTGTGCTTGCCAGGCAAGCGCTTATTCTACTGAGCCATCTCCCTGGCCCTTGTAGCTATTTAATACTCTAACCTTAAAGATCAATTTCTGTGAGAAAAGACTTTTTAGGGAAACTTGAAACACCTAAAAGGATTATGTGAAGAGAAAGAAATACAATTTTTCACTTAGAATTTTATAGCTATTGTTAGCTTGATTTGTTGTGATTTAATGATTCTGTTGGAAATATTTAATTTTATCTTCTATCTTCACAGTCCATATTTGCTCCATTTCTTACTTTACAACTTGCGTACATGGGACTATACAAATATTTCCCCAAGGTAAATTAAATTTTTTTTAAATTATGATGATGTATTTGAACTGATTCATGATTAAGCTAACTTTAAAACAAAATTAATTCTTATAATTTGGATTAGTGCTAATCAAAATATGGTTCATTTGCCAGTGCTAAGCTTAAAATTATTTGTATTTGTGATGCATTAAGTTCACAGAGTGAGTAGTCAACTTGCATTGCAATTTGATATTGCCATAACATTTTTATTTCATTTTATTTTACAAAAATGTTGGCATTTGTTGGTGTTGGAGAAAATATCCTTTGCTGTAGGTTTGAATAGTACTCATCTCAGAAGTAGGTTCAGTTTGCTTAAACTTACTAATTTGTTTTGCTTATAATGAAGAAAATTAATTATTTAAATTAATTTTTTTTTAAATTTTATTTATTTATTTATTTATGTGTGTGTGGCCAGCTCAGCCCACCAGGGGGCGGGGCTGGCTGGCATGTGGTGCTGGGGGATTGAACCGGGTGCCTGTGCTTTGCTAAGCTTGTTCTAAGTAGGTGCTTTAGACCACTGAGCCATCTCACCAGCCCCTATTTAAATTAATTTGTCTTACTCTGCCCCATACTGGATACATACTAGCAATGCACTTTAATATAGAGGACAAAAAATAGTCAAAATTACAGAAAGTCAGCAGCTGGGGTTAGGTCTTCAGCGGCCTGTGTTGGCCCCACCTGCGCCCCAAGGTATGCTGAGACAACCAACGCTTGAGACTGTTGGGACTGGGTGTGGTGGCACCCCTGTAATCCCAGTGCCTGGGAGGCTGAAAACAGGAGCATCACTACAAATAGGATCTGTGTAGTGAGACCCTATAGACCCTGCAGACCTGGTACCAAAGACATTAAAAAAGAAAGTACAGAAAACAGTGCTCGAGAGAATCAGTGTTTATCTAGTCTACTTGATAGCCAGTCTCATTGGGTTTAGCTTTCTTGACAGTAAAGATATCCTTATTTATATTATCAAGTTTTATGTGAGTTTTTTGCTGGAAAGTGGCTAAGTCCATTTTTTTTGGTGGTGCTGGGGACCCTGTGTGTGCAAGGCAAATACGTTACCACTGACCTATACTCTCCTTAGTTATTCTAATAGGCTGACAGAGCTGTGTGTAGTTTTAATGTACTTGAAACATTTATGTTTTTGAAGGGTCCAATTGGTCAGACATAAAAGTAACAGTAAGTAAACCTGGCTGTGGAGGCACATGCCTAGAACCCCAGCATTCTGGGAGACTGAGGCAGGAGGAGTTCAAGTTCAGACCCAGTCTAGGCAATTTAGGAATTTAGGAGGCCCTGTCTTAAAAAAAACACAAAAAAAAACCCTGGTCATGTAACTCAGTGGGAGTGAAGGGCTTAGGTTCATTTCCCTAGTACTACAAACAAAAAGTAAAAAAAGTATCTTTTTATTTTTTTTTTATTTTTTTTATTTTTAAATTTTATTTATTTGTGTGTGTGTGTGTGTGTGTGTGTGTGTGTGTGTGTGGCCAGCTCAGCCCACCAGGGGGCAGGGCTGGCTGGCATGTGGTGCTGGGGGATTGAACTGCGGTCCCTGTGCTTTGCTAAGCATTTGTTTAGAAATTCACTCTTGGGGGTTGGGAATATAGCTCAATGGCACAGTGACTCCCTGGCAAGTGCAAGATCCTGCATTTGATTCCTAGTTTAAAAAAAAATATATTACTGTTAGGCTGAGCATATAGCTCAACACTAGAGCATTAGCCTAGAAAGTGCAAGTCCTTGGGTTCAATTCCCTGTACCACTACCACAAAAAAGAAAAGGAATTATCTGTTGAAACATTAATTAGAATTTTATAATGGCGAAAGTTTGGAAACAGACTAAAAATCCTTAGTAAAGTGAATGATAAGTTCTTCAGGAAATATTAAAAGGAAAATGCAGGAATAGGCTTCATAGTATATTCCCTTTTTTGTGAAGAGGAGGGAAAATAATATATATTTAATTTTACTTACATATACATAAAGAAACTTAGGACTAGTATGCATAAAACTTCAACAGTGGTTATTTGTGATAGATAGGGATATGTATGGGTCATACTAGGTAAGGGGGGAAAGGGAGACCATACTTCTAGCAGAACATTTTGTTATAAGTCAGGTGCAATGACACAGGCCTGTAATCTCAGCGATCTAGGCCAAAGGAGGAGGATGCCAAGAGATTGAGCTTAGCCTGGGCTGCAAAAGCCTACAAGGTCAGGCCTAAACTATGTAGTGAGACACTGTCTTAGATCAAACTGAATGAAAACAAAACTTTAAATGCAAAAAAACTGTACAGTGAATACCCACTTAAACCTGCAGTCAAACTTTGGTAGTGAACTGTTTTGAATCATGTTAAATTTGGTCCTCCTAGCATTTTGGGGTAAAAATTTTGTCCCATTATTATAGTTTACTTAGTTCTTGAAACTGAAGCTAAACTTGTCAGTTTCAGATGCCTCATAATTCATTACCATTTCCTGCCAAATGGTTTGTTTTGTACTAGTAGTTTTTGGTACTTAATTAAGGAGTTCCAGAGTATCACTATACTGCCTAAAGTTTTTAGTTAACATGTCATTGTATTCATCATCTGTATACTGGGTTTTTTTGTCTATTTTCAACCCATCTTTGCTAATGTGTTTTGAACTATACTGTTCATGTGCATGTCAGTATATTTCACTCTATCATAGCATTAGTTACAAATCAGTGTTAGTTAAGGTTAAATTTTTATAATGGAACCACTCGTCTTTTTTTTTTTTTGCGAACCAGGGATTGAACTCAGGTTCAATCTTGCCAGGGAAGCGCTTATCCTACTAAGCCATCTCCCCAGCACCCCCACTCAAGTCTTAAATGTATCATTTGAAAGTTAGGACAACCTGTGAAACTCAAATCCCTTTTAACATTTAGAACTTGGTGTTACGCCAGGAAGGTTAGTTATGTCCCTTCTCAGGGATTTTCAGTCCCTACTCACCAAAGGTCTAATTTTTTCCCCCTACTTTTACCCATGTTAGTAATTTGTATAAATGGGATCATTTACTCCTTAAACTTTTTTGGTATAAGCCTTCTTTTATTCTGTGTAATATTTTTAAATTCACGTTGTGAAGTATTGATGAGTGATATACCCTTGTATGATTATATCTGTGTGTCTAATCTGGTGGTGAATATCTTGCTTGTTTTCAGTTTTTGCATTACGACTGCTTATCACTTCCTTCTATGAGTCTTAATAGATTTTTTTTGTAATGGGTCCAAGCTGCTCTTTTTAAAATTTTTATTTTTTACTGGAGATTGAACTCAGGGCCTTCACACTACATCCCTAGCCCTTTTTACTTAGTTTTTCTTTATTTTGAGACAAGGCCTTGCTAAATTGAAAGCTTCGTCAGGCTAGGCTTGAACTTATGATCCTCCTACCTCACCCTCCCAGAGTGCTGGAAATTAAACTGCCATACCTGGCTTCAAAACTGGTGTTTGGTTTAATTTCTTTTGAGACAAGCCCTCACTATGTAGCTTAGGCTGGCCTTGAACTCTCTGTGTAGCCCAGACTGAAGTCAAACTTGCAGTGATCGACCTGCCTCCTCCTCCTGAGTATTGGAATGCTCCTAGAAGATTCACAGTTCATAGTGGTGGAAAACAGCAAAAGCAATAAAACCAAGAAGGGAGGAGAGGAAAATAGGATTTGTTTTGAATAGCAAGTAGGACCTTACAGGATGTTCCTATGATGCTGTTGCTTCTTATTCTCCAGTAGAGCCAGTCCTGCCTCTGGCTTGATTTTTCCTTTTACTTCACTCAGTTTGTTTATTTTTTTTTTTTGGCGGAACCAGGGATTGAACTCAGGCCCTTGTGCTTGCCAGGGAGGCACTTATTCTACTAAGCCATCTCCCCGGCCCCAAATTACATCTTTTGGGGTTTTTTTTTTTTTTTTTTTTTTTTTTTTT